GCCTCCAGGTGTGCTCAAAATGAGAGTTTTCACCTGCAGCATCTGATCATTTTTTCTTTCTCCGCTGAATCAAAACCCCAAAAAGCCTCCACAGCTCCTCCAAAATGCATTTCCTCAAAAGCCAACTACAAACCCAAGTCCACAACTCCTTTCTCCTGCTCGTCTCTCATCTCTCCCTCACTTTTGGGAGCAGCTCTGGCGTCCCCCGGTGCTTCGCTACACTTCAGCCTCCCATTTCTCCCCATCTCCAAACCAGAGCTCTACCAAACCAGCTGTTTGATCAAACCAGCAGCATCGTTAGGAAAGGAGGAAAAAAAAAACACAAAACTTTCCTAGCTGCCTTGAAGTAGCAGGCAGGCATCCCCAACTTGCTACATTCAGCACATTTGGAAGCAAGGCACGTGCTGTGGAGGGGCTGCAGGCAGTTCCTCCTTGCCTCACCCTCCCATCTCCCCCAAACTGCAGAGCCCTGAGCCAACCCCATCCTCCCAAACCCCCCCCCCTCACCAAACCCACTGCTGACTCTGGAAAACTCTGAGCATTTCTGGGGGCTCAGGCTGGAAGAGGAGAGGGCAGAAATCCTCTTTTTTTTTTATTATTATTTTATTTTTTTTTTCTCATCCTGAAAGCTCTCCATTTTCAAAGCAAGCACTTTAACCCCACCTCTCTTATCCATATCTCTGAGCTTTGTTTGCCTGTTTTTCAACCTAAAAGGCAAAGACAGAAACACAGGTTAAACTGGAGAAGGAAACTCAGCCCTTGGAAGCGCCACTGATGTGGCAGCTCTGTTTTACTGCTACCAAATTTATTCTTTTCTTCCTAATTCCAAAAAACTCAAACACTTAAAGGGCATCAAGGCAGGACAAACTCCATCTCCAGTGCTTTCTAAACTTGAGGCTGCAGAACTTACAGCAAAACTGCAATTTCTTGCCCTTGCTCCTGCTTGGAGAAGGGGAAATAAGGAGGATTTCTTTAACTTCAGACTGCAAACTGTTAAATACATTCCTCCTTCCCCAGTACATTAAAAATTGGTTAAATTACCCCAGCTCTGAACCTAATTGACGAAACTTGCTGACAAATTATTAATCCCTAATTGAATTACAAATTATTCCTAGTTTTTCTACCTGGAAATCGTTAAAAGGCATTAATTTCCAAGCCATCTCAGCAATCCAAACTCAGCACCGCGAAGCTCCCGGATCAAAAATGGGCGCTCAGATTAAACTGAAGAACTCAATGTTACCACCACCGTTTGGGGGGGGGAAATCAAGAGACACAGAACAAACTGACCCACATTCAACCCCCCCAGAAAGGAGCTTTCCTCCTGCCTCGCCATTCCCACACATTGCAGTGCATCGGGGTGTTCCTAATTATTTTTTAATAAGGCTGTAACTTGTACAACAGACCTGTTTTAAGGGGGATTGTCTTAGGAACGGATTAAGAATACGTTTTGTCTCAACGCTCCGGAGAACCACCTTCGTTTGACGAGAGAAAGAACGGCCAAACTTCTTTCTTTGCCCCCTGTTCGATTTGCACACAGTTAAAACAAAACAGGGGGGAGAAAGGCACCGTTTTCTGATTGCTATTTACAAACAAAGAGGGCACGCTAGCTGCTATCAAAAGTCCTACAGTTTTCCACCACGTTTCACTGCACGATCACACACACGGCGTTTTAAACAGGTTTCAAGCAAGGACTTAAAAGCAAAATGCAGCTTTCGGGTTTCTCCATCCAACTCCATGCACCTTCACACCATTCCACAATTCCCACCTCCTCTCAGGAGCTCGCTGACCCATTCTGAACGCAGAGCAGAACCCTCCAAGCTTTAAGCCTACTGCCTCTTATCAACCCAACTCCCTCTTCCCCCCCAATTACTCGGTTTCATTCTCTCTGGTCGACTCACTTCCACATTCCTCATATTTGGAATGTCTGCTTGATGGATTCACTTTTTTCCCCCCCTCGCCCCTCCTCCTTCCTTCCTTCATTCATTCTTTCTAATGCTCTCGACTGAGCTCCCTTCAGCTTTGGAGCTTCCACCTCTACCCCCCATTCTGATTTATTTTTCTTTATTTTCATCTCGACTTGGAAAACCAAACCTTTTTTTTTTTGTCTTAAAAACGAGTATTTTTCCTTATTTTTAACCTTCCAAAGAATAAACAGTAATCGTTTTTCAGACTGTAGAAAACACACTTTTAGCTTTCCTCACTTTTTTCCATCAGTAAAGTGAGCAGAAAAAAAACTCCAAAACAGAATAAACGATGGTTAGATTGATTTAAACCCATTGTTTTTAACGAAACAACGTATTTATCAGCAACGACCCTTTTTTCAACAGTGATGTTTTAAAGTTTCGCTGTTGTTTTCTCTTTTTTTTCCCTAAATAGCTCCCAATGATCACTAGGATAAGTTGCAGCTTTGGGTGTTATTTGGAGAAAAAAAAAAATCCACTGTAATTAAACAGCTCTAAAGCAGTTTGTCCTTGTTGTGAATCGCTCTCTCACACCACATTCACAAATTCTCCATTTTTTATCCCATTCCTGCTGCAGGACTGAAGGACAAGAGGGGTTTTAATGAAGAAAAGACACCAGCAGGGGAGATTTATTTACAACACGCAGTTTCATCGCATGCGTTTCTCCCCAAAAGCACCCAGCTCAGCTCTCCTGAACTTCAGCATTCGTAATTTCAATGAAAAGAAACACAACCATCGAGCTGAGTTTTATTTTACAGGTTATCTGCAAAGCACATCGTTGACCATCGCTTTCTTTCCCACGTTTCTACATGAAAATAATGCAGATCTAAACGCGAGGCTGGGGGAGGTGGGTTTAGATCACATCAAAACCCATCTGATTTCGTCCTCTCTGCTCACACTTAATTAACCATATCCTGCTCTCTGGGCTTTAAACTGGAAAATCCTGTCTTAAAAAACAAGCAGAAAAGAGGAAAAAAAAAAAGGCAACAACTTCAAAAACAGAGACGGTGCCATCACTGCAGCCTTTATCCAGAGAGAGGGGAGGGAAGCAAAACAGGCAGAAAAGTCCACCAACAACCTGCAGAGTTTGCAGCTATGCCACAGTTGCCTTTGCTGACCCAGAAACACAAACTTGGCATCCCAAAACTGAGGCAAAGAAACTGTAGCAACCTCTCCACCAAGCATCCAGCCACCCCATCTCGGCTGACGAGGCGATTTTCCAGCAAAGCGCATGAAGAAAGTCAACAGCAAAAATGGCTCCTGCAGCTTTAAAGGCAGCAGATGGGGTTATGGGGCTCAAACCAAAGCCCCTTCTCACCCCCAGCCCGGGATTTAGCCACCAAACGTAATGAACTGCACTTCTCCTGGTTCTCATTAAACCACGCTAACGAACCTTCCCTTTGCTTCCACCCATTGTAAAGTTTCACCCAGCATTTCTTTGAATTACAGACGCCAAAGAAATATTTACATTTCCATTGAATTTCTCCCGGAGTGCTCTTAGCAAAAGTCAGAGGGGGGGAAAAGAGGGGAGCAGGGAAATACTCTGAGATCTTCTGCACCCCCCCAACCCCATTGATCACCAGAAGTACTACAGATAAGTAAAAAAATCGTGATGCATCCCCTTCCCTTCCCCCCCTTTTCTTTTTTTTCCTCCCCCCCGATTTATTTCTCGGCGTTATTACGTTACCCTTCATAGGATAATTGCCTTTCCAATAACACACTTAGATTCATTGATACTGGGAGCCACGGGGAGACTCCGAGCCTTATAACGACCGATATCGATCCCCTTTCCACGAGGAGGGTCTGGAGAAAAAAAACAAACCCTACAGGGGACGTTATTAAATGGAGTCCTGCCTTTAGGGTCGGCCCCACCACAAGGCACAACCCCCTGGAAAGGAAAAGGACCCTCGCCAAAAACCTACAGCCTCGCAATAGGGTTCCAACCAGCTCCCCCAAAGGGATCCTCGGCCAGCAGAATAAAAAAAAAACCCCAAGAGTTTAGGGAAGAAGAGTTGTTGTTTTTTTTTCTCTTCCCTCTGCACCACGTTGAGCGCCGGGGCGGCCGCCCCATCACGTGGCGGAGCGGCTGCATGGCCCAGCATGGGCACAGAGCCTTGAGGAGAGCTCCCCCAGCTCAGTGGGGGGAGAGAATCAGCATCACCCCCAAAGACCCCCCCCCAACAAGCAACAGTGAAACCCCCTCTCCCTCCCGGACCCAGCAGTTTGCTGCCTGCACCCTCAAGTCCTCCAGGCTCGGCGTCCCGCGCGCCCTCAGCAACAAAGGGCCAAGAAGATGGGGAGGGCCGGGGAAGGCCGCGACGCCCAAAGAGAACGTGAAGAAATGGGGTTTTAGCCCCAAAAACAACAAGTTAGGGGGGGCAGCCAGAAGCTGAGCCAGCACCCCGCATGGCCGGGCTGAAACCTTGCACCAACAAGCAGCCGGCCCTATTTTTATGTAATTATTGACGCCCGTTTTTAAGCCCTCGCCCTCCATCCCGGCAAATTTCACCCGTGAAGGAGAAATCAGCCAAGAGTGTTTTATTAAAAAAAAAAAAACAAAAACTTGGCGGTTCCGTAGAAATAACAAAAGGTTTTCGGGCCCCTTCTCACGGGGAGAGGCTGGGAAATTCTTCCAGTGTCACAAGTTTGAAAATCCCAACCCCAAACGCCATTCATCACTTGGGCGAACGGACGGGCGGCGAATCGTCGGGTTGGTTTTTTTTTGGGGGGGGAGGTGGGGGGATTTTTCTTTTTAAGCAAGCAAACAAAAAAACCCTTAAACCCAAAGAAAAGCTTCCTTTCGAAAGACCCTAAAGATAAGAATTGGGGCACTGGTCCTCAGAACCGCTCCTCACCTCGCTGGGCCATTACCCAAAGCCAAACCACCACCATATCTCGTTCCACATGCACATATTTGGATATAATTTTTTTTTGCCTCCTTCCTCTTACGTTATTATTTCCCCCACTCCAAAGGAAAAAAAAAAATAAATAAATCAATACAACAAAAAGACAGAAAAAGTAATTAAAACACCGTATTACCTTTGCTTTTTAGGTACTGAGTGTTCAATCTCTAGCTGTTTTCCATGCAGCTCCACTTTCCCTAAAAATAAAATGGGGCTGTTTTGTATGATCTGGGCGGAGGGGTCAGAAAGCTTTGGGTAACATTCTATCATGTGAAACTTCCCATTTAATTTCAATCACTACAAACTGCACAAAAAGGCTTTTTTTTTTTTCCTCGTTTTGTTTTGTTTCCGATCACAAGTGCGTTCTATTAAATATAAGGCTGACTTCTAATGCGGCGGGAGGGAGTGGTGAGTTCTGAACAATGTTCCTTAGGAATATTTAATTCCGTCCTTCATTCAGCTCCGATTCGAGCAACAGCAAACGAAGAATAATATTTGGAGATCAATTTTTCGTCTTTAATTCCACGCATTTGAACCGTGCAGAACTCCTCCGGGCAGATCACTCCTCCTCCCCATTAAAAGACTCGAAATTTTAACTCCACGCTACGAATGGATTTCTCTTCGAAAACGGGGCGGATTTCTACACCGCCGGTTTATTTATTAATTGGGGGGAGGGATGGGAAGAGGGGAGCAGCCATGGGAAAAGCCCGGAGGAAGAAGCTTTGGGCGAAGGGGAAAAAAAAAACTCCAACATTTTCAAAAATTCTCTGTTTCCCGGGGATTTTTTTTTTTTTTTTTTTTTTTTTTTCGCCTCTTCCCCCCCCTTCCCCCCCCTTCTGTCTTGCGAACAGCATGGCGACCTTCGCGCTCCTCCGCGCATCACATGCCCCAGGAAACCCAGTTTGAAATCAAAATGGCCAAAGTCCCACCCCACCGCCACTGTCGCGACGGGACCCCCGCGCTGAGTACCGCCGGATCGGGCACCGTGCAGCCCCCCCGTAGCTATGGGGGGCCATAGGGAGCTGCGGGGGCCCTCTCCTTCCCCCCCTCCCCCTTCCCCACTGCGGTTATTGGGGGAGAAGCGGGGTTTGCCCCCGCGCACCGCTCGCTGATGCAAACCCCGACGGGGCGCAACGGCCCGAACCCCCCCCACCCCGCTCCCCACCCGAGCCTGAGACCCGACGGGGTCCCGCAGACCAGAGTAGAAAGGGCCGGAGGACACCGCTTACCCGAAAAAGTTTCGATGGCTTTCATGGCCCACTGTTCGTCGGGGCAGTCCACAAAGGCATAGCCGGACTTAACCAGGAACTGCCCGCTGAAAGAGATCTTGTGGTCGTTGAAGACTTTCTCCAAGTCGGCCGGAGTCACGCTCTCGTTTAGGTTCCCGATGTACAGCTTGTTCATGGTGGCTGCCGGCGGGGGGCGGCGGACGGGCGGGCGGTGGCGGCGCGCCGGGGCTCGGAGCGCGGCTGCCGGGGGGGCTCCCACCGAACGCCCGCACCGTCGGACAGCGGCCGCCCTCTGCCACCCCACAGCCGGGGCGGGGGCTCGGTGCTCCTTTTCTTTGAACACTCCCTCCCCCCCCCCTCCTTTTTTTTTTTTTTTTTTTTTTTTTTCCTTTTTGCTTTTTTTTTTTTTTGGGAGGGGGGGGTTCGGTTGGGTTTTTCTTTTTTTTTTTTTTGGTCGTTTGGCGGAGTTTTCCTCGCAGAGGGGTGCAGGCGGCTGCTGGACGGGGGGGGTTCCTAAAGGAGGGGGCGGCTGTAGAGGGCGACGGCAGCGGGGAGGGAGGCGGCGGCGCCGGCTGCGGGGCCCCCAAAGCGGCGGAGCGGCACCGGAGTGTCACCGGACGCCTTTCGGCAGCCGGGCACCGCCTCTAAATAAAACCGACCTGGAAAATGAGTGAAAATGTTTGCGGGAGGAAGCCACGTGGTGATGCGGGAGGGCCCGGCCCCCGGGGGGAGGAGCCGAAGGGGGGGGAGGGGGCAGCCTCCACTTCATTATTTATTTTAATTTAAATACTACGTTATTTACCTCCACACAGACACACACACACCCCTCTTCGGAGCGGGGAGCGCAACCGCTCTGCGTTCCCTTCGCATCCACCCCCCCCCTCTCCACCCTTCGGGCCCCGCCCGTCCCGTCCCGTCGGAGGCACTTTCCCATCTGTGCAGCCTCCAGCCCCCACCGCGCCCCTCCCCCCATCGCTCCCCTCCCCCCAGCCTCTTCCCCCGGTGCCTGAATGGGATTTTTCTGGGTGTAAAAAAAAAAAAAAGAGAAAAAGAAAGAAAAAAAAAAAAAAAAAAAAAAAAAAAAAACCTTCGGCATCAAAGGGGCCGGGAGGTCCCCTGGCGCCAGGGGAGCGGGGCTGCAGGGGAACGGTCCGACCCGGCGGGGTGAGCGGAGGAGCCCCCGGGGAGGGCTATTGTCCCCGGTATTGTTTTAAGCCCTTCATGTGCAGCCCTGCGGAAGCCTTCGGGGAAGGGGGAAGGCTCCTCCTGGCACAAAAGGGCCCCGCGATACAGCGGGATCGCTCCCCGCGGGACCCGGGGTAGGGGGTGAGGGGGAGGGGAAGGGGGGACGCGCCCCGTCGGCGGGGAGAAGCAGCCCCCCATCCCCCCGTCCCTAGAAACCCTCCCTCCCTCTTTCCCTCTTCGCCTTTTCTGGAGGCTTTTTATTTTTAGGCTCGAGATGGATTGAAAATAGCAGCGACCCCCCCCCCCCCCCCACCGGCACCACCCACCCGGCCGCCTTCCTGCTGCCTCCCCCGACGGGGCGGGCGGGGGACCCCGGTGCTCCGGGGGCTCGGGGCGGGCGGCTGCCGGGCGCGGAGGGGCGGGGGCGGCCGTGACTCCCTCCCGTACATGTAGAGGCACGGGCCGGCCCCTCCGCGCCTGCAATTAAATGTAACGCGCTCCTGCCTGCCTTGCCCGCCGGGCCGGAGGTTCCGTTTTCCCCGTCCCATCGATCAAAAAATAAAATAAAAAATAAAAATAAAAATAAAAATAAAATTAAATAAAAAATGATTTTAAATAAAGAATTTCCCGATATAAAGAATAACTTTTCCTCCATTGAAAAAAAGCGTTCCGGGCGCTGTTACCCCCAGCGATATACGGGCACAGCGCCCACCTTCCCCCCCCGCACCCCAGCTGGGGGTGGCGCAGCGCTGCGGTCGGGATGGAGCCCCCCCCCTCCTCCCCCCGCGCTGCTGAGCTGTTCTTCGGCTTCTCATCGTCCGTCTCTCCGCTGGGGGGGGAAGAGCCACGTGGAGAATTTGTTAGTAAATAAATTCGGTGGTATTATTCGAGCAGAAGAAGTTGGGAAAAGCTTTAGAAATCAGCGCACCTACCCAGGGGTATTTCGGTGCGTTCAGTGCTACGGCCACGTAGGAAACTCGTCAGAATGAACGACTGAAAACAAAAAAAAATCTGGGAAATTTAAAGCGAAGAGCTTTCAGCTCCCCCTCCTCTGTCTGATGCATTCTGCTGTCCTGGGCTTTTGGCTTTCCAAACACAGAGATGCTGCTCACAGTTTGGTGCCATCCTTCCAACTGCATCGCTCTCCTCAGAGCACCAAACCGAATCCACCAGAGGGGTTTGGATGGAACTGCTGTGTCTGTGTGTGTGTTTCTGAGGCAGCATCAGCTCCATGTTCACAGGTGGGAAGAAGAAAGTAATGAAATTTGGGGACAAATCTCCTGTAGCTCCCAAAGTGGCTGAGAAGTGGAGAATTCAACTTCACACACAGACACGTCCCACAGGAACAACTCATTTGCTGCCTGCTTCGCATCCAGCTCTAATCTGGTCCCAAATGTGTCTGTTGTTGCTTCTTCTTTTCTTTTTTTTTTTTTCTTTTTTTTTCTTTTTTTGCTGATTTATAGAGCACCTTCCCCGTGCAACACAACCCTTTAGCAATGAAATGAAAGAAACCAACCCCAAAATAACAACAACCAAAGCCCTAACAAAGAGGGAAAGCCTTCCGTTTAGACCCACAACAAGCAAGGCTATCAGTCAACCTCCTTCCCTCGGTGGAGCATTCCAGATGTAAGGTATTTAGGGAATGCAAACAGCAGAGCCCAAATCATTGATCTGCTGCGGGGTGATAGGGCTGCTCAGCCCTGGGCAGGAGGAGGGGCAGCTGCCCTGCAGTCCCAGCTGCCCCACTGAGAGCAAAGCTCTGCAAACCCCCTCCCCCCCCAAAAAAAAAGAGGGGAAAGGGCTCAACCTCACCAGGAAGCTCAGCAATAATCCGGTGTGATACGGGGAGCTGAGCTCTGTCACATCCAACAGCAGCGTGGCCTCGTTCCTCCCCCAGCGCTTCCCCGAGGTTTTGAGCTCCCTCTGAGGAGCGGATTTCTTTGTGCAGTTTGCACCACGTTCCAATGGGTCCCTCCATGCTCTGCAGCCACGTGAGGCTGTGTTTGATTTCATACCCAAAATGTGAGCTGGGTTAGAAGTTGGTTTTGGTTTTTTGGTTTGTTTTTTTTTTCTGGGAAGGGGGGGGGGGGGAGTTGCATGGTTGATTTGTTGTTGTTTTGGTGAAGGATTTCCACCTTGGAATGAGGCAGAAAGGTCCTTAATGAGTTTTTGTGATTACTGTGCAACGCCAAACAACCCCTGTTGTCACACAGGAGTTTAGGAGAACTTTATTAAGGTTAATTTAAAAAAGCAAAACAAAACAAAAAAACCCAAAAACAAACGGTGGGAACTGAATGGTGGATAATGCACCTATGAGTGCAAGGGTTCAATATGGAAAGGTGCAATTCCTGCACAGTGGTGAAGCACTGTTGTTGTGAGGCAGAGGAAAATTAAAGCAGGAATGATCTCTGTGGCAGAGAAGTGGTGAAATGGAGGAGCTCAAATCCTGCTATCTTTCCAGGCAGTTGCCATTTGATTTTGTTTTAATTTGTTTGGGTTCTTTTTTGATTTGGTTTGGTTGCTTTTGTTTTTAATGTCTGGTGATGGCACTGCATTTCCAGTTGGGCAACGCAGAGAAACACCTGAAGCTCTGAACAACACTCATTTCCCAGGGCTTTCATGTATGGCTTAAGTCACAATCAAACAAATATGGGCTGAAGGATTTCACTGAAGCACTTCTGTCACAGAAGGGGGGGGAAAAAAAATCACCATTTGATTCATGCTGAATCTGTTACAAACAAACCTCAGCCACCAGAAATCAGCCGAGCACAGAGCAAGGCTCTCCCTGAAACACAGGTGAGAACTGAGCAGAATGAGAGGTGTGAGGGTGCAGCTGGGGAATATTTCCTTTCTCTTACATGGGATCCCAGTTCAAACCACCTTTTGTTCATTTTTTGTAAGGAGGAAAACATTCGTGAATGAAAAAGGAATCTCCTATCCGTGATCTGATCCCATTGATTAAAGCTGGAGCGCAGGAATCAGCTGAGAATCAAACTTACTGCAGAATCACTAATTGGATTTCAAACAAAATTCCAGCTTGGCATCGATTATTAATAATTTCCTGATTCTCTGTGCTCTCTGGACACAACTCTGATCCCCAAGGGCTGCTTGCTGAAGCTGAGGAGCAGAGCAGCATCCTGCCCTGGGGGGAAATGGGGGCTGTGAGCACAGGGGGGGTCCCATGGAGCAGTGCTGAGGGTGGGGATGGCTCCCAGTTCTGGCCACTGCCTGAGCATTGCAGCACTTGGATTAAAAGCCCAGCACACGCTGTGATCAACTCAGGCTGCAGCATCAGCTCACTTTCTAAAAAAATCCTTTTGTTCTGCTGCTGAAAGATGGGGCTCCTTCCAAACTGCAGCGAGCCACAACCAAACTCTTGTTTTCTTCTCCCTCCATCTGCCTGGGAGCTGCTTTTGCACAGGGCAGGGTGCTCTGCTCTTGCACTCCTGCAGCAGCAATCTGAATTCCCCACTGGGGCTTTGCAAACGTTCCGAGAGCTGTTCAGACTTCAGCAAAACAAAGCTGCTTTGCATCGAATTTTTTTTTTTTTTTAAATTGTTTTTAATCGTTCTTTATTTTTTTTCCTCCCACGATGGAAATGATTCGGTTTCGTTTTGGTGCTTCAGTCCTTTGCTTTGGCTAAGAGGTAAATCCCAAATGCAAGGAGAGGGAAATGCTGATGGGAAGGCGCCCTGAAATTATGCTGTTCAGAGTCCCTTTAATTTTTCATTCCCCCTCTCTTTAATGCAGCTTTCAAATATGCCCCCACTTCCTTCCATCAGACTTTCCTAACGTGCCAAATTGTTGTTTTTCCCCCCTCAAAATCACTGCAATCTGTGGGACAAATACCTGGAGCAGCCATTCCTCCTCTGGGTGGCTGGAAAGATCCATGGCTATGAAGGTGGTGGGAAGTTTTGCTGTTGGTGCAATGATAAAAGAAACCAATGTAGCCCAGAAGGCATCGTGGGAGATGGATCCTGCCGTTGCTGAACTCCCCCTGACCTTATTCCAAGCAGGAGCTGATCTTTTTAACCCCCCTCCAAG